AGCTAGGCAAGATTTCAAATTGGAGACCACAAATATTCGTTAGCAGAAGACATTTTGGAGATATCAGTGCTGTTTAGAGATTGGATAAATGCTGAGCGGAGAAATCAAGGACTTCCAAAGTTAGATAGTCAATATGAACTTTTCATAGATTCAGCCATTGGATGTGGTAGTGACGATGGCATGAAACTTCAAGATCGTCAACGAGCTTTACCAAGACCAGTAGTTGATTACGGTCAATCTATAACTGAGTTAGAGAAAGGCTTTATGGGACTATACAACTATTAGTATTACATTTGAGGCTTAGTTGAAACAGAACCTTTCCTAAAAGATGGTTGCGTAAATTATGCACTCTACTAATAGTTGTAAATTGTAATTGTAATTTGTAATACAAATTTAAATAAATTGGATTGATATTTTTTAATTTGTGTCATTGTTTTATCCTTATTTTTATTTAATTTTTTAAAATTACAAACTTAAGTTATTTAAATTACAAGTTATAAATATAAGTTATAACATATTAATAAGTAATAACTTATAAACTTCAAAAGATTCAAATCTTGAAAACATAAACTAAAAACATTTTTTTAAAAAAACTTTATTAAACTTAACTTGCAAACTTAATAAGTAAAAAATAAAAAAAAATATCTTTAACAAAAACTTAAGTAAAATTACATTTTAAATTTCAAAACTATTAATTTAAACTTAGAAAAATAAAAAAACATTCATATTTTCGTAATTCAAAAAATAAAAATAACTAAATTTTTTTTTATCATTTTTTGAAATAGCTAGATGTGTCATCCCGTTTATCCCATTCCGATCCGTTCCGGCTCCATCCCGGTATATAGTGGGACGGGACGGAACCGAGTATCTGTCCCAATAATTCCGGTCCGATTCATCCCGGTACCGGTCAACAAACCGGTCAACCCGTCCCATTCCAGTCCGGTGGTTCTGTCCGATCCAACGCACAACCTTAGATATGAACTTGGGACCATTGTAGAAGACTGCAAAATTGTTGTCTATCTTGTTAATTCACAAATTGATGACAATTAGGAAAGAATAATTACTGGTTTAGACTGGGGATAATTTGATAGATAGGCTAAAATAGGACCTAATTTACTCTAACTAGTAATATTATTTCATTTTTGTTATAAAAATATTTTATATACTATTGTGAATGTCTATTCATTTATGAGAAAAGTTAGGGTTAATTATTTCGTGACCAAGTTAGTTTTCCTGTAATTTAGAGGGGTCTCATTCATTGTAATTTCATATAATCCTTTTCTCTTCTCACTACCTTTCTCTATAAATATAATGTTCTTCTAACTTTATTATTTTTAATACGTTATCAGCAAGAGATTTTACCATTTCAAGTAAGTTTTGAATTAAAATCCTATAATAAAGACATTTATTTTATTGATTCTGCAACATCACACACATAATATTTAAAGATAGCAAAAAAATTTGTCTCATTAACTTATGGGTCACAAAAATGTTACTATAATTTCTGATAGTATTAAATTGATTGAAGACTTCGAAAAGAGACATTATAATTTTGCCTAAAAGAATAAAACACATTATTAACAATGAAATTTATTTTTTAATCCCTGAGAAAACATATTACTTTTTAAAAACATATATCAAAATAGTTATCATATTAAGACAATTGACTAAATGAATCTTGAATATAACACTTATTGTTGGAAAAAGGATTTACAACACTTTTTATGATAAATAAAAAATTCATTCATTTCTATACTTTTATACTTTGACATGATTGATGGAGACATTCTAGATCTACAAAGACAATACGAATTAGAGAGAAAATTCAAATGAACATCTGTGAAAGAGCTCAATTTTTTTTTATAGTATTGGTGGGCCTAAAGTCTTTATTGGACTGAGTGTAAGCAAGTCCAGTAATAAAGAAACATCCAGTGAACTGACCCAAATCCATGAAACGTCGGATAGTAGGGCACAAATGTAACTAGAGCTTTAGGCTTTAGCAATGGTGGTTATATTTTTCTCTACGTATTGCTATTGAATAACATGTCTTTACCCATAGCTCCAGTTGTCTTTGTTTTTTAATTTCTGGACTATTAATTCAATAAACACTTTTTTGTTATTATCAGTTTTGATTTTCTAAAATCGGATTAAGTTTTGGATCAGATTCCTACTAAACAAGATGAAATGTGCTGAGTTTTTTAAGTTCACATGAAATTTATCTTCCTTTCCATGGTGACAATGCAGGAAAAAGTGTGTGTGACTTATTATCATTTATGTTGCAGCTGAACTTATTTGGAGTATTTTGAACTAAAACTCTCTTTGTAAATGCAGGTCTTATGCTGCTGCAGTATTTTAGACATCAATATTCTATTTTGCTTGTGGATTGATGCTGCACAGGTTATCAGGTTCATTTGTTCTGCATGGTACATCCTCTTCCACCCAAAAATAAAAGAATGAAAAAATATTGAAAAGCAACTACAACAGCAGAACAACTAACTCTCTTTCACTAAGGTGCTGGAAGAGGAATATATCATACTTCCACAGTGAGTTCATATTGAATATAGGGGTTCAATTTGGCCAATATTATTTAGTTTATACGAGTGCTCAGCTTATGCTGCTGATGGTTAAAATACCCTTTGCTTTCAGAAGTTTTATAGTATTATCAGCCCCCAAGGGCTTTTCTGTAGTGGTAAGAATGCAACTGGTGATGTTGGGTAAACACACTCTATGTGTTTGCAATCTGTTGCATAGAAAGCCTGGTATTTAAGTGGAGAAGGGCAAAGGGGAGGGCCCATCATCCACCGAGTTTTGAATTGTGCGTCATTGGCTTTCAGGGATTTAGAACATTTCCTTAAAAGATTTTCAGTGAAAAAGTATAATTACAGACATTTAGGTTGTATTTGGTATAATGGAAGTCATTTTCATGGAAAATATTCCTTTCTTATTTTTTAAACAAAAAACATCTTGGAAAATGTTTTTTTTTTATAAAACGTATATATTAAAGATAAGTAATAATATTTGTAAATTAGAGATTGTTTTGATGAAACTATCGAGTCTTAGAGATCAATAAAAATGTGCAAGTATTAGTTGGAGCAAGTAATATGAAGTAAAAAGTTAAGATAGTTGTAAGGAAAATGACTTCCACCAATAAGTGAAGGAAGTCATTTTCCTTGGAAAAAAACTTTCATCTTACCGAACACCAGAAAATGATTCTTTCTGGGAAAACATTTTTTGTCCTGCTAAAGACAAATGTTACTCTAGAATGATTATACCAAAAAAAAAGAGTTACTCTACCGTGTTTCATTTGTAATAGTGATTCTGGCCACTAATAATTAATTGTTTTTAATGTTATTGCAGGATCCTGATAACTCTTTGGATGATAAGTCTGAAAGCAGACTTTATGTTGGAAACATTGATCTTTAGAATATCAGAGTAAGGATAGATCTATAGGAAGTTTGATTTGCTTGTCTCACCACCAGCAGCTCCTTTGCGCTAATGAGCAAGAGTGCCAAAATAGCTGCAACTAAGAACAAATTGAAGAAGAGAGCCATAATTCAAAGAGACAAAAAAGTGGCTGACAAACTCTCAGATGGTTGATGTCAGATATCAAGCTCAGTTGAAGTTTTCTAGTTACTCATCTAGTTTTCCATCTTTGGATCTTTGTATTATGACAATGACAAAATGATATCAATTTTGTTTTAATTACCAAAAGAAAAGATACGTATCAACTTTGTTTTCCTGGCAGTAACATGACAAGTGACTCGTTATTTTTGCAAATCTACCTATTCACGTTACACACTTGAATTTCAAACTCAAACTTGGACCATAGTTCAATGGTTAAAGGATTTGTTTGGTATGAAGGAAAACATTAGTATTTGTTTAGACTATATTAAGATAATAGTTTATGCTTATGTATTGAATGCAGAAAAAAATAAGAATTTTTTAATATCAACGTTGGTACAAGCATAGACGGAAGTGAAATAGTCGATTCAAATATTGTTTCTTTACAAAATCAACATTTTTGACATATTGATTTGGGAACCATAGTTCTTCCTAGATTCGATTTATTCTTCAAAAGGTTTGTAACTTTTTTAGTACATGGGAAAATTAAATTAAATTCTGAAAAACTCTCAATTTTATCCTTCCTTCTACTACCAATACAAAAATATTTCTGTTATTACCTAAATAGTTCAAAAATACCCCTTGTTAGGTTTATCCAATTGGGGCAGCAATTCATGCCACTGTTTCACATTCTTACCTCTTAAAGTCTTCAAATAATTAGTGTACTTCTTGTTCTTCTTAGAAGTCATTGTGGCAGTAGGCCCAAGAAATGGAAGAACATTGTTTATTATTTTATTTTTTCCCCCTTAATATGTTACATCTGTAGTAGTAAGTTTTAAGTTAATCTATTATAAACGAAATTTATTTTTAATGGTGGTGAAGGAAAAGAAAGTGCAAGTGGTGGAAGAACAAAGTGAAGGCGAGGCAGTAAAATAAAGGCGGATCCAGGTTTTCAAAAGGATGAGTGCACTAATATAAAAGATAGTATACATAAAATTTAAATATATCAAACTGTATAAATAGTAATTACACTTAATTATATTCAAATTCAATTACAAGATAAACCTTTCAAGCAAACATGTTCATTTATACAACTTTAATTTATACAACTTTTGCATATTCTTACCTCTTAATTAAGTCTACAAATAAGTGTACTTCTCGTTCTTCTTAGAAGTCATTCATGTGACAGTTGGCCCAAGAAATGGAAGAACATTGTTTATTATTTTATTTTTTCCCCTTAATATGTTACATGTATATAACAGTAAGTTTTAAGTTAATCTATTACAAACAAAATTTATTTTTAATGGTGGTGAAGGAAAAGAAAGTGCAAGTGGTGGAAGAACAAAGTGAAGGCGAGGCAGTAAAATAAAGGCGGATCCAGGTTTTTGAAAGGATGAGTGCACTATTATAAAAGATATAATAAACATAAAATTTAAATATATCAAACTGTATAAATAGTAATTACACTTAATTACATTCAAATTCAATTACAAAGATAAACCTTTCAAGCAAACATGTTCATTTTATACAACTTTTGACCAGATTATATATACTGTACAACACAACTTTTTAAACCATATTTCAGAAACTTGCACACAACCAAATAATCCAAAAGCCAAAGAAAACAGAAAAAACTATAGTAAAAGACAATACATACGTCCTTGTTTTTTGTGGTAGAAGCAAGCAGAGAGCATCACCAATTAAAGCTGATAGACTCAAAATGTAGGTTTTGTGCCAAGCCAGAAGCACATATATTGGCAACCTCATGTCTCATGCTCTTTGGCCCACAAACTACAACTCCAACGTCTGATGCTTTGCAACCAAAAAGTATTCCTGCATTCAATTCAAATAATATAAGTTCCTCTTATTACAAATATTTCAAGACTATAAATATAATGTGTGTGCTAGTCTTTCGTCAAAAAATTATATTGTGCATATAGAATTTAATAAGTTCCTCTTGTACTTATAAATATTTCAAGAAGATGGTGAGTGTAGTTCAACTTTAAGTAAACACTTGCAAAACTAATTATTACATATTATAATTGTTCATAATCAATAGAATTACCAGTAATTTAAGAAGTATAAAACAAGTAATCTTCTATAACAGGTTAAACCACATTAATATCGATAGTGTAAAATCTTAATTATACTAATTATCATATATAAATAAATAAAATTATTCACATATATGTATTATCAGAAGTATCAATAATTAGCTAGTAAACTTACTTTTTAGATCAGGTCTAGCACCATAATGCACCTTAGTAGCTTGCACAATTGACTGTTGAGGAAGGCTTTCCAGCTCCCTTTCCGTACAACATAAATTACCAACAGGTGAATTTGTAGGATTAGTAGGAATTTCCACATTCTGAATTTGTTTCCCTTCAATTTCATTCTCCCTTTTTTGCCACATAAAAATAACGCTAGTGCCAATAAATATCGAAGCACAAGCCAAAAACATATCCCAAATAATTTTCGCGCTGTAATGATACAATTTCCCATCGCGTTCAATTGGATATATGGAGTAACGCGTAACGAGGCCTAACAAAAGGAGAAACATGAAGAATGACGAAGTAATTATCGCGCCAAGCCAGAGCCAGCTGCTTTTCCCGAGTGCTGCTGAAATAGGAGAGTCTTTCGGATTTTGTTTGAACACTAGTAGTTGTTGTTTCGACTTGGAAGCTAATTCCAGCTGGTTGTTATGATCGTGTTGTTGTGGTTCGTTTTCTCTAGTGATATAAGCTTCGATTTGGAAATCTAAATTGGAGATATTGGAAGGAGTTGTGGAGATAGGGAGCAAGAGATCAAGCATTGTGAGATCGGTTGTGTTCTTGAAGGATGTAATTAGGATGACTTTTGGTACTTTGGTGTTTGGTTGAAGTGTACTTCTGTAAATGAGCTCTCGAAATATTGAAATCATGGGAGTAATTCCACTTCCTCCACTAACCATCACCAAGCATTCTCGACTGAAATATATATGTCACATTGCGTTTGTTAAATCAATGAAAATTACTATACACATAGTACTAATTAAAGAATATTTTACACTACTAATGTAATTTAACTCGTTCTAGTAGCTTAAAGACTATGTTATCAAAAAAACATTTTTGAATATAAATCAACAGCAATTTTTCATATTTAATAATTATTGAAACTAATTATAATACTTTTTAAATAGTTTCTAAAAAATAATAGATTCTTTGTCTCGAAAAATATAAAATGTCACATAAATTGAGACACTGAAGTATTAATTAGTTACCTTAAGAAATGAAATGATGAAGGTCCATAGGGTCCCTCTGTTGAGATTTGAAGACGATCAGGAGAAGAAGAAAGCTGTTTTTCTAATTTTTGACTCCAACTTCCCATGCATTTAATTACAACACTTAGTTTATCTGTCTCCAAATTACTGCTTGAAACAATAGTAAATGGATGCCATTGCAACTTGGATACACTTGGCACGTTCACAAACAAGATGCTTGTAGGGTTGTACGTTAATGCTGTAATAATGTGAAAAAATATATAAGTACGTTTGTACATCCTTAACTAGCATATGTAGTACTACTATTAGTACTAGTGTACTACTACTGCTAATTTCAATGTGCGTGAACATATTTAATTAATTGGGAATAAAGTTCAATAATAATGGAGTGATAATAAGGTCGGTCTGGATATGATTTCAAATCATAAATTTGAGTAAAATATAGTTGATAAATAAGGTATCAGAATGTTTAAATACGTTTTATTAATAAATTGAGTATTTCAATGTTATTTTTTATCAGTAAATGCTATTATAAAAAATACATTGGTTCAATAAATTGACAATATATAGTAATTAGCGGGTTTTTTTTATAAAAAAAAACCCCTCATATGATATGAACAACCTTTCATGTCGAACGTGGGATTTTTTTTGTTAAATTTAAATCGTTATCGATTTTTTTTGTAAAATATAAACTTATCGGGTCAAGTTTATCATTTAAAAAAAAATGGAAACACAACTTGATATTTCAAATCCGACTTCTTGAAGAATTTGAAGTTTGAAATTGAGGTTTTGTTGACAATTCATAAACACAAATTTGAGTTTCATAATTCTAGGGCCAAACACCTACTTATTATGCTATAGCATTTGGTGTATAAAACCTTCTCATTAATTATGAAAAAGTTTAAGTTAAATTATTTCAAATTTAGAAAAGAATCATTCCTGTATCATCGAGCGAAAAAGGAAATAGATTCACATGTATCATGTATGTTGATGAAAGAGACAATCTTCTTTAACTAACATCTTGAAAAAATTAACATGCTTGGGTAATTATAAGAATATACGTGACAGTGTTAGTTTGTTTAATTAAGCATGAATTTTAAGAAACTAAAATATTTTTTAAAATTTTATGATCTTAAATTAAAAATTGTATATAATATATCAAAATTATGTTCTTTGAATATAGTTTTGAGGTTTTAAACATGTTATGTGTGATACTAAAATTACAAAATTGTTAAATATAGAAAGTGATATTTTTTTTCGATCAGACTAAAAAAAAAAAAAAGTAAGACCAATCTATAAATTAATAGAGGAGGAATATTGGAGTATAAATTTACCTGGATTCTTGGAAAAGGTGAGTTCAAAAGTGCTACAAGGTAAAAGTCGTGCAGAAATTAATCTAGCACTTCTTTTAGACTGTAAAAATCTCAAATATCGATCGATAAGGAAGAGAAAAATCCCAGGTAGGATCATGCATGTGTAGGCAACTCCAACATGCAAAAGGTAGAAGATGATGTAGAGAGTATATAGTTGATGTGTGTAGAAGAATAAATCGAACATCTTTCTCCTTATCTTGTACAAACTTGTAACCCACATTGCTATTGCAACCAAAGTCGCTATTTCTCCAGCTACGTTCGATACGTACGAACTGCTCCATTCTATCATCTGCAAAATTATGTATAATATATACACACAAATTATACCGCGATTGTTTTGGCTAAAATTTGTTAAAATATAAAAACTAGGGTTATTTTTTGTTGTGGTGAGTTATTGGAAAGTTGTGTAGCGTTAAAACCCCTTTTAAAAAAAATCACTTGGTTGATCCATGAAAAAATTCAGGATCTCGAGTGATAATTGATTATGGTCTTATTTTATGTATGCGTTTTAAATTTTCTCTTTATACATGTATATACATGAATTCGAGTAAAAAATAATGAATTCAGATAAAACAGAATTAACCCTAAAGAAATTACCTGTATCATTTGATTAGACACAGCATAGTATATGACAAATCCAACACTATGAAGAACTGCAAGGGCCATAGATATATGGCCTAGCCATATGTGATATTTGATGCTTGATTCCGAAGTTAGCCCCACCAGCGGCAATATTGACGACAATCGAGTCACTGGGAAAAACAAAAACGCATAGCAAACATTCCCAACATACCCAAGCCTCAATGCTACACTTCTAAACTTCGTCATCCACCTAAAAATTGTTGACCCAAAAATATTTATATCAGTAACTAGTAGTTGAGTGACCATACGAAAAACAATGAGTTAGATCATCGACCATGACTTACACTTTTTCGGCGGGATTCATGATATAGAGATTACGATAGCTGATATAGATGTAGTTGGCTAAAGACCAAATAAGAAGAAGGGTAAACATAGCAGCAAAAATAAGTTCAACGGCGTTTACAATTCCAAGAGATTCCATCACGAGCCGTGGCCGTCTCCATGAACCAAAATATTCTCGCCCTTTATTAGTACTACTGCAGTAGAACAATATAATTATATGTTAGTTAAAAGAGATATATCGAAGATGATCATTAATAATTATGTAATTAATTAACCTGTGATCAGAAGTTGACTTGCTGTAAAGATGAAGATAGACACAGCTCACAGCGGCTATCAACATTATGGGAAATGTAAATAAAAGAAGATTTATCCCTGTAAATTGAGACAATTAGTGCAAAGTTTATTAGGGTTAGGTCAGAATTCGGATTCATGGAAATTGATCAAAGAGGAAGAAGTAAGTATATCCAATATATATAGTAATTAATTACCTTGTTCCCTGAAATATGTAGAGTCGAGGTTGATTAGTAGATGGGGAGTCCATGAATTTTTGTAAGTAGGTGTAGGTAACATTACCCATATGAAAAGCCATCCAACAAACACCAACAACACAAAACCATTCAAAATAGTCTTGCTCCCCATCTTCGCAAAAACTTTATGATCTTTTTTTGTTGAAATTAATTAGCTATCACAATAGAAGAGATGTTATGTGTATATATAGAAGAGTGTGTTGAAGAGGAACAACATGCTTCATGCCTTTTGTTTTACCTATTATGATTGATTTTAGCTAATTCCCTTGCGTGGACTTTCTCAAATTGTATTATTTCCTTAGTTTTTTAATTAAGTTTTTTTTTAGGGTGAATAGCAGTACTAGTGAACTTGTGTTTTATATATTTGCCTTTCAACTAAAAGGAAGAGCCACTTTACCACTTTTGACAAGTTAAAAGAGGGTTTAAGTTGAAATCATCTCTCTCTTGGCTCTCGTACGCTTGTTTACATACGCCCAATTTTGAGGTGATATATATCTACCATGGCTAGAGACCGAGGATAACTGATCGAAATAATCATAGGTCATGTGAAAGTTAACAATTGCAAATCTTGATAATGATAAATTAGACGACACATAAAGGAGTATATGATTGGACAGTTGACCTACCTATGGAAAAACAATACAAAAGAAAGTATATAAACTATTACAGAACTCTTTAATGACTACATTGTGGTTGTTATTGTGTTCCTTATGACAAGAAAAGATCTTCTAACTTGTCCAATCTGTGCTCCTTGATGTTCAATTAGAGTACTGGTCTATCACGTAGAAGTTATGTTTGGTCTGTATCTAACAGTATCACAAAACAGGTGTCCCTAAATCTGCAGGAAAGTTGAATCTAATCAATATTCATTTGTGGAACAAAATTTTCATTGTAAAAAAATGTAGCACATCAACAAGATAAATTGTGGATCAGATGAATCCATAGCTACTATATCAAGAACCATTCTCTCTTTGGTGTTGCTATCCGTTAACACGCTTCGTGGATTATATTGTAACAAGGATAATCAATGCTAGAGAAATACCGAAGCAGATCATTTATTTAATTGTTCATTGTGAATTCACTAGGAGATTTATGCAGAATGTATCATTGGAGAGAAATCTAAGCATCTTTGAAGGCAACTGGAATGTCACAAAATAGCATAATACACTTGTAATGTTAGAGCTTCTTTGGGGATAAGGGAAAATATTCAACAACTTTGTGTATTCTAATAGTAGCTTATTTGTTTTGTTCTGCTAGTTATTTCTGAGTTTCAATTAGATAGCAAATTGTGATAGTTTTGCTATGGCTTTGTAATTCTTATCCTTGCTGTTGCTGAGTAGCAAAATGTTAGCATAAATTTTTTTTTAAAAAAACGAAGAAAGAGCTTCAGTTATATATACGGCTAGCCTAAGAAAATTTTATATTATCATGTCATTTTTATTTGTCGTGATTTTTTTATTTTCAATAGTACAAATCTCAAAAGTTTATGTATATATATATATATATGCTTTTAAGTGACTTGAATAGTGTAAAAAAATCTTATGTTAGACAATTTTACCTTGGCATTTAAAAGTCAAAGTACAAACATCTATTACTTAATTAATCATGATTATTGACAAATACAAGGATGAAAAAGACATGTCTACCTTCATTAGTTAGATGCAAAAATCGAGTTTGAGTCAATTTTATGTAACAAAATTACGTAACAATTACATGATTAAAATGATTTTCTTGTACAAATTAAACTACTAAGTACTATTCCTAGGTTGAAATAATTGGAGGATAATTAACTAGTTGACCACACGCATAGCAAATAGGAAGGATGCATTGATATTTTAAAGACGAATGGATAATTTAATTAAAGATATCCAATGAAAAATTCCAAGAATTGAGATGGTACTACTAAAACTGCAAGTACAGTTGACTAACAAATGCAGTACACAAGTTTAGTAGTACGTTCAAGGAGTGGCAATCTGAAAAAAAGTTTTTATGCTTGGTTAATTAGACATCGTGGGCGCATTTATTTCTCAAAATAAAAATAAAAACAAAAAAACATTTAATTAAGAATGAGTAGAGGAAGTGTAGGTTTAAATTATGCATATTGTCTCGTAAAAAACTTAAACTATTAGAGAAATTACGTCGCTTGGTAAAGTGTACTAGTAAAAATAGTGCATGCATTAGCTCTATGTATTAGTAGTCCCTTGTTTAATACACTTTTTCATTTTATGTATAACTAATGCAAGTATTAGTTATAAACTCTATTGTGTATTGAAGATTGTATTATTAATACCATAGATTTCTAGGTATTACTAATACAAAGGGATTTAATGTATGCATTAGCATGGTTAAAGATTCAATTACCCTTCAAAAGTACTTTTACATCATTTCCACCATAATTGTGGAGGATATTTTTATAACTAAATATTTTTATACAATGCATACTATTTTTAATACACCAAACCAAACAATGCATAAGAAATAATCTATGCATAACTACTGCAAGCATAACTAAGTTATTACACGCATTACTAATTCAAATATTACTAATACACTTTATTGAACATTATTTTTACGCACTCTACCAAACGACCCGACGTTTGGTCATAAATTTGAAATGTCTTTTTTCTTTATATAATTTTTTTGAAATTGAAATTGAAGATGGAATCATGTTTGGTTATAATTCTTGCAAAGATTATTTGGAATAATATTCATTTTTGAATATACTTTTTTGAAAATCATGAAATATGATTTATAACCAGTAATTCACATAATGAATAGTGTGAATTACTAGTTATTAAATTATCAAATTTGCTCTAAAAAAGTAAATCACATAATGTCATATGAATCTCATAGATGAACTACGATATACTATATTAAAAATGATCATTAGCGGCAATAGCTTAATTGCCACTAAATATGTATTTTAAGCGATAATTAACACTCTTTGTGTATTTCCCTAAAGCCTTTAGCGACATTGGTTCCAATGACACTTAACTAATGCCGGTAAAGATTTTAGCACTCTTTATTAATATCTATTTTTGTTGTCGCTAAAAGTTGTTTTTGTTGTAGTGATATGTGATAAATTAATTATTTACCAACTTATCTTTCCTTTCTGGATACTTAGATTTTTGTTATGTTTAATTGAGAAAAGAGTCCATTTACTGTGGCTTACTTCTATTTTATGGGTTTATGTGATTTAAATAAAAATGGACGTGAAGAAACCAAATAAAAAGTAAGTCATAAAAGAAGCCAAATTGAGGAAAATGAGAACATACAGTAGCTAGAAGCACAAAGACTGGCCAGATGAGCAAATTAAAAGATATGGTTATTTTGATAGGAAAAATGGGATCTGTAAAATTATGATTTCGGAGGAAATATCTTTCATTTTTGGCTGAGCTTGCACCCACACTTGGGAGTCAAGATTTGAAGACTATGATAAGGAATTTCTTAACTTTTACTCATTTTTCCATTCTCTTGTTACGTATTAAATACTTAAGTATGTACTATTTTATTCGATACCTAAATCTTGTTTATGGTAATATTCTATGTTTGAAATTTGGATTAAATCTCTTGTTTTGTTTATGTATATATTGAATGATTTTTATTTGAAATGAAGTGAGTTTATTGTTTCGCTAATTGCTCTTGTTTTTTAAATATTTTCAAAGCAAATAGGTAATGCTAGAACTCACCCATTTATTTTGTTTTGAGCTCGAGAGAAGAAATCGAGCTTGATAAATAATAATTAATTAATGAAAATATTTGAGGCCCTTATGCCCATCTAATAGTTCGAGTTAGAGATAGAAGATGAAAATATTTGCTTGATTGTCTTTATATATTCTCTATCAAATTCAACCTCAATTTACAATTGTATAAATTATATTACATATGATTATGTATGTACTTTCTCATTTGAAAAGTGAATTTGGACGTTATTAGCATGCTATTACACTTCATCAATTTTTAAATACTTTTACAAAGATCCATTTTCCCGACTGTTATTGCATGTAAGGTTGAAAAGTGAAAACATTCACTTATATGGGATTGGGATTTCATAAAAGTCAAATACTACTTTTAATTAGGAGAAGAAGTTGTTGTTGAGGGATTTTATCACATGAAAAAAAGTTGTTGTAGTTAAATTTTGCATTAAAAGAAAAAATTGGACGAGGAAAAAAACAATAATCATTAAAAAAAGGAGGAACTATAAATAAGTAGAAAATAAAAGGCAATTGATTAACAAATTACAATGTCAACACTACAATCCTTTGATACAATTAAAATATACGTATTGAGCTTGTTTTAATGAAACAATGTCCACAAACATTTCTATTATATAGAAAGGTGAGGGCGACCAGGACGACCAAGGGTACTTTTGTCAATTTAATAAAATTCCAAGCTTAATTTAATTGTACATTTTGCATTGAGAGTATTGAACATTCCAAAAAAACCAGCCAAAAGTTATGTAATTCCCACTTTATCCACCATTAAGTTGTTGATTTCCATCGTCACACGTGTACAACACATTGGGAGGAGTAAAAGAAATTAATGCAAAGTTAAAACATGGACCCCATTTTTGACTCACTTCAAAAGTCTATGCATTCAAGACCACTCTTTTA